CCCCAAAACCCCAAAACCCCAAAACCCCAAGTCAAAGTAATCATTGAATCATATTAATTCAAAATTTTTTAGGTAAATTAATAAATCTCAAGTCAAAGTTATATTGATAGTATCATTTTTATAAAATCCATTTAAGATTAAGTACATTTTCAGTCATCGTGACCTTCTGATAGCACTTGGAAATTTCCTCCCTATTCACTATCTCTTGTATTGCCCTAGACTTTCTTAGTTTAAGCCTACTTAGCTTCCATTATTTCATCACCTTTTGAACAATCTCCTTGTCTAAGTCTCTGAAACACCAACATCAATATCAAAAGCGAGGTCAATGTCATCATAGCTGAAAGAGCGAAGAAGAACTCATAGCCAAATATCTAAAGGAAATACTTTCCAATGAAATATCCCATTAAGCTTGATGAGCCGATAGCAGTGAATAATATTGCGTAGACTTTAGGTCCTATTTCAAGGCCAAAATAGTGAACACATGCAGTGGGAAATATAGTGAACTGACCACCTAAGCAGAAAAAAGAGACAGCTACCCAGATGATGTACAAAATCTTATTATGAGCTATAAAGTAGAGTGTAGTGCTGGTAAGGAGTTGTGTAACTAATATTATCTTATAAACCTGCAAATGTTAATTGGAAATGAGATATCTTACCCATTCAAATGATGACTTATCCTATTGAATTGGCCAGAATATTCTTGAACCACCATTCATAATAGACCCAATCGATCCTGCAATGGTTAATGTAATATCATCTAGATTATTTTTTACGCCTAGTGACTTAAAAGCATTAGCCATAAACATTCCATAGACTATATTTGTAAATAAGCAATCATCACTAAGATACAGAGATCTTCTTTAATCTGATTCACACTTACACATTGATAAGAAGAGCATAATCCACATGCACAAGAAGCGCTATGATTTTAAGCTTTATAAGTAGTCGATCTTTTTGTTCTTAAGCTGCTGATTTTCCTGTTTCATTTTGTCTAGGTCTGCAGATCTTCTAACTAGAATCAAAGACAATAAGACTAATGCAATCCAGATAACTACAAGTTTCCTTAACATATCCGGTGCTTTGCTTGAAATATCCTTATCAAAATATAGTTAAACTGTTTCACCAGTTTAGACCTAGATTGAGGGTGGCTCATCATGTGGGTTTACTAAAAATGTGCTGATAATGTCAAACACAAAACTTCCAAAGCCAAAGCCTCCAATTACGATACCACTTACTAAACCCTTACGATGTGGGTAATGCTCCCAACCGCACATCAACGGGGCCATGTAAGAAATCCCTATACCCAAACCATAAAACACACCATAGAGTGCAGCAAAGGTTTGAAAGCTTTGAGCAAACGAGGAAGCGAATATTCCTCCCAATGCAATTGTTGATCCCACTATGATTAGTACTGTAGGTCCAACTTTAGGGTATAAATATGCAGCAACAGGATTGAAAGTCATATGACCAAGCTGCTCAAGAGGAATCATTATATATGATGACTCAAGAGTAAGGGTCTTATCAAACTGGTAAAAATATGAGATGATATAGACTGAAATGTTACCCCAAAGGTAAAAACATCCAGTGAACTATTAAATAGATAAATTGAGAATTTGTAATTACAAGTTAGAAAATAAAACCACCAAGTAGTGTTCTTTAGCCTGGAGTCATTTTTAATTATAATTGTTTGTTACAAATATCAATTTTTCTTAAATAACTTAATATTGCCATATGGGGTTTTGGGGTTTTGGGGTTT